TACATCCTCTTTTTTTCTCACCCTAACCTCCACTTCGCTTCTGCTGTGACGCAGGAGCAGTGATAGTGCCTAATTGCACATCCCCAGCCAGGCTTTGCCCCTGGGAGAACCCTTGGGGAACCTCAACAGGCTTTCGCTCTTCCCAGCTGAACAAGGTTTCTGTTCCTTGCCTCCCCACACCCCCCAGATTTATACCCCACCTGCACCACAGGCTTGTAGACAACCCGACTCGGGCTCAGCTTCCCTCTAGCAGCAGGAACACCGAATGTACGGGGGTGCCAGTGCACAGCTCACTCAGGGCAGTGTTTTCTCAAGGCCCAGACCTGCTGGGAATTCAGTATGTACATCAAAAATGTCTCTCCAGTCTTAACCATGGCTAAATGCTGTAGATTGTATTGTGAAGGACTTGATCTGTTTACTATGAAACCATTGTTATTTCTGCTTCCATATTTCCTTTACAGAAGTATTCCTGGACGTTACATGATAACCTTATTATGTGAAAGTACATGCAAACTGTAGAGTGTATATATCGTGTCGTTATACGGGGTCCATGGATGGTACACTGTGTTCCATGGCTTACGCCAGAGCAAACTTCAGCTGTTAAATCCTGAAAGACACCTTGAAGCACAATTTCCTCACCACTGATTTGCCATATCATTTACCACATTCAGCCTTTACTCCTTTATTTTATGTGCAGTCTGGTCATACTAAAGCCTGAGTACAACAGTAATTTTGTGAGGATAAATAGGGTTTTTTCCACATCTCGATTCATTTAGCTATTGACTTATTTGAATGTCTGCAGTTCATCCAGACAGATCTGTAAGTTTAAAGTACTATCCAAACTTTTACAAGGTTTTTTTAGGCTTTTCTTTCTTTTTCCTAATGGTTTATGGTGCCTTTCTTGCCTTTCATACGGAGCCTCCTGATGGCCTAAGCATCCACCTGCGCTTAGGTTCAGGTAAGGAGCAAGAGATGGGGCACATGGCAACTGTGCATCCGGAATGAAACTCCCTTCCCTTCCTTGACGAGATCAAAAAACCAAGGCATCATGAATTGGACACCACTCTTCCACCTCCATCTGCCTGAGCAGATGGGGGTTGCACCCCCGTTGAGCCCGGAAGGCGTCAATGGGAGAACTGAGCATTGGCCCTGCCTGTACCCATTCAGCACAGAAACAGGGCCTTGGGTTTTGCTGATAATTTATCTCACGGAAACTTGGTATTTTTGCCTTAAACGACAAATGCTTGAGTCCTCCTAATTTTAAGTTAATTTATTTAATACAATTTTGTGCACAAAAGAATGAGTTCTATAAATTATGTATGAAAATGTTAATGTCTTTACAAAGTACTAATAAATCCAGAAGATCGTATCTTTTCAAATTATGGTTTAAAATCCTGATTTTTTTCTTTTACGCTCACCATTATTATTTTTGTAGCTGCAAGTCTTATCATATAGGAATTTTTTAACATAATATTGATAGAAAATAGAAAGAGTAGTGAATATATGAAATTCTGGAGAGGAAGAATCGTTTGTTTGGAATTTTATAAGCTTTGCTCATATTTCCTCATGAGGAGTTTCCTGTTTCTACACTCTCTCTTTAAAAGACAGTGTCATGACTGACAGTCATTCACTGGTTTCACAAAAGAAGGACCTGTCTGGCTTTTCAAGTCTTGTCCCGAGCTGGTTATTAAAGTCTAGCTCATGACAGCTAATAAGAATTGTTGATGAGTAGGGACAAAGGACAATTATTTTTTTTCTGATTTACAATCCACTTGAGGATTGTTGAAGAGAGAATTTGAACTTAAGTAAGAGCTTCAGGAATTAAGCCTTATCCAAATAACTGTTTTCTGATCAGCATGTTTCTTGTACCTGATTGAAGAGAGAACTGAAAAGAATAGTTTTGATGATTATTATTTGTTTAAAAATTTGTATTTGCTCCTGGCTTATATGATCTATACTTTTTATTTAAATATGAATATAGTGTTTTAGCCTAGGGTTCAAGATTGCAAAGATCATACACTTTTATTCACAGTGCCCACGGTTGTTACATATGTTTTTGAGATAATCCTACTTAGAGTGGCTGCTCTCATTATAGTATGGTGAGGAGTAATTCACCTGCTCTTCTGTGATAAGTCAAATCATACTGAATTGCTGATGTATAGTAGAAACATCTGATGTACAGTAGTATTTCTGGATTGGGACCTGCAATCCTTACTCAAGCAAAAATTCTATGGAATTCATGCATTCCATGGAATTCAAGAATTTTTCTTGAATCGGGAGCTCAGATTCAAATCCTTATTTTGTTGGGCATCTGTTTAAAGTGAAAATGGTAATATTCCAGTTATTTCCTGAGGAAACTAATACTTAGCTGAATTTACCCATGTCACATTGACTATATAAAAAATAACGCACAAAGTATTGATGTAAAAAGGGAAGAAGAGAAGGGACATTTTTAAAAAGCACAGAGAAAAGGACAATAATCAGAAAAGTGGAATAAGCAGGAAAAGGAAATATAACAGCAAAGGAATGAAAAAGGGGTTTAAACACCTGAGGCTAAATTCATCCTTGGATGGCTTCACTGACTTCAATGAATTCACTGCCCAACCGGGTGAAGTTCAGCCTCCATTGGGATAATCAGGCTCAGTTCCACTGACCTTAAAGGAACTGAACCCACCTATACCAGGAATGAACTTGCCTCTCTGGGCCAACTTTTATCCTGACTCATATGTCATGCAATCCTTTTGGATTCATAAGGTTTGAATGAAATACAGGTCAGAAAAGAATTTGCCCCAGATATTTCTGCTTCACATTTTTTTTCAAGTGTGTTAATCAACTTAATTCAAATGGATTACAACATCACACAAAGTGCTGTCACTGTCTAAAAAGGTTAATTGGTTTTTGAAATAAGAATTGTCCCCTGCAGCGTCAGTGGAAGCATGTAATATTTTCCTGTTCATTCATCTGGATGCAAATGTGACCACTCATTCAGCTGTGGCCACACATAGGACAATTCCAGACATATCCAATATCATCTGCTATTGGAAGCATTTTTTACTTCCTTGAAAGATAAAAAGCCAGTTTTGTAACAGGCTTAGAAAGCACGAAGGCTGCTTCCACTGACACTGCAACAACATTAGCCAGTACATTACAATGTTAATTGTAACTTCTTGACAAAGTTGAATCCATATTGTTGTTAATAAAAATGATTTGAAAAGTACCATGCTTACTGGGTGGTTTTTTTCCTTACATAAATGATGGTATGATGTAAGCACATATCAGGAAAAAAAAAAATCAAACTTGCTCATTGTTTTCCTTTTGAAATTTTGTAATTTTTTTTATTAAATAGACCAAAACACCACAAAGGAAGTTTACTAGACTAAAATGTGCACGAACTAGTCTGATATGTTCAGTTTCTCGTAACCATTTACAGCAGAGTTTACTTAAATTTCAGATGTTTCAACACCTCTATGAAAATGAGTTTGGAAGTTATTATTACCTTTCCTGTTAGACAAATGGGAATTGATTCAGGATCGGCAATCAGAGACCTGTGTGAGGAGCAGTATTCCTAAGGGAAGATCCATCCTCTACCTCAGATTAACTTGAGGCCTAGGTGAAGCCCTTTTCTCTGCGATGAATCATGAGAGTTGCTCTAGA